GGTTTTTTAGGTTTTGGTCGTTCAGCAGGTACGAATTCGTCCTTCGGACGCTTTTCGAATTCTCCCTCGGGATGTAAATTATCTTTTGGTTTCTTCTGTTTCGGTCGTTCAGCAGGTACGAATTCGTCTTTCGGTCGTTTTTCGAACTCACCTTCAGGATGCAAATTATCCTTTGGTTTCTTCTGTTTCGGTCGTTCAGCTGGTGTAAATTCCTGTTTCGGGCGTTTTTCGAATTCTCCTTCGGGATATAAGTTATCTTCGTGTTTTATAGGTAATGGTCGCTCACCTCTAATAAATTCTTCATTAACTCGTTTGGTGAATTCACCTTCCACTCTTAAATTATCCTCCCGTCTAATCGTTGTAACACGTTCTACTTTTTCAAATGTGAAATCATTTCTCGATGAAGTACTTCCATAGAAGTCTCCTTCGGTATGTAAATTATCTTCAGGTTTTTTAGGTTTTGGTCGTTCAGCAGGTACGAATTCGTCCTTTGGACGACGTTCGAATTCTCCCTCGGGATGTAAATTATCTTTTGGTTTCTTCTGTTTCGGTCGTTCAGCTGGTACGAATTCGTCTTTTGGACGACGTTCGAATTCTCCTTCTGGGAACAAGTTGTCTTCGGGTTTCTTCTGTTTCGGTCGTTCAGCAGGTACGAATTTGTCTTTAGGACGACGTTCGAATTCTCCTTCTGGGAACAAATTGTCTTCGGGTTTCTTTTGTTTCGGTCGTTCAGCAGGTACGAATTCGTCTTTAGGACGACGTTCGAATTCTCCCTCGGGATGTAAATTATCTTTTGGTTTCTTCTGTTTCGGTCGTTCAGCTGGTACGAATTCGTCTTTTGGACGACGTTCGAATTCTCCTTCTGGGAACAAGTTGTCTTCGGGTTTCTTTTGTTTCGGTCGTTCAGCAGGTACGAATTTGTCTTTAGGACGACGTTCGAATTCTCCTTCTGGGAACAAATTGTCTTCGGGTTTCTTTTGTTTCGGTCGTTCAGCAGGTACGAATTCGTCTTTAGGACGACGTTCGAATTCTCCCTCGGGATGTAAATTATCTTTAGGTTTCTTCTGTTTCGGTCGTTCAGCTGGTACGAATTCATCTTTTGGTCGACGTTCGAATTCTCCTTCTGGGAACAAATTGTCTTCGGGTTTCTTCTGTTTCGGTCTTTCAGCAGGAACGAATTCTTGTTTCAGGCGTTTTTCGAATTCTCCTTCGGGATATAAGTTATCTTCGTGTTTAATGGGTAATGGTCGCTCACCTCTAATAAATTCCTCATTTACTCGTTTTGTAAATTCGCCTTCTACTCTTAAATTATCCTCACGTCTAATGGTTGCGACTCGTTCTACTTTTTCAAATGTGAAATCATTTCTGGATGAAGTAGTTCCATAGAAGTCTCCTTCGGTATGTAAATTGTCTTTGTGTTTTATTGGTAGTGGCCTTTCGGCTTGTTCGAATTCTACATTGACTTTTTCTGTTAATTCTCCTTCAATTTTTAAATTATCTTCTTTGTAGATAGTTTTTGATTTTTGACTTTTTGTTGTTTTGTAGTCTTCGTGGAATCTGCAAATATTGGTAAAAATTTTTAATAATATAGTTTTAAATGAATTTTAATGTAGGAGTACATTTTTTATTTTTTATTTTAATAAATCGTTAGTAATTATTGTATTCACTTTTTTAAAGTTATATTTGTAAAATTTTTTCCACATGGTCCCTATATTTTTATTTTTATTTTTTTTTTTTTTTGCCTTACGTTTTTATCATATTTTATTTTTTCGGGGTAATTTTTATAAATTACTATAATTTATTTATCATTATAACTTCATTGGAAAATAATTTTTAACGGAGGTTTAAAATTGAAATGTTCCTTTTTTTTTATGTAATATTTTTATAGGTAGATAATAATAATTACTCTGAACGTATGATGAAATCGTCAGTATTCGCTTCCTGTTGAATTGATTTATCCGATTTTTCGGTTTTTTGATAGAATCCCAATTCTGAATTAATTTTTTGAGAATTTTGCCTTATACTTTGAAGTTCGTTTTCATTATAAGCTTTGTAGTCCTCCTGATGAGATGACAATAATATTTTAGGAGAATTTTCATCAACCTTAAACGGAGACTCTATAGTTTCTAATTTGTGAGTACATCTATGTCGTCTGTAAAAATTAAACGGTTTCAAACGTTAAATAAATACATTATTTTTAAGTAATACTATTTTTTTTTTTTTTCAAAAAAAAAAATTTTTTTAATGCACAATTATGTACGTGTATGTATGTATGTATGCATATACGTATATATATATAATATATAATCATTTTAATAAGTGAAACATTTTTTTTTTTTTTTTTTTTTAAATTTTATTTTGTACTGAATAAAATAATATGTTATTGATTAGAAAAAATTAAAAATAACATTATAAGTAATATATTCGTCATTTATTTTAAATTTTGTCTTTAACCTTGACCAATATTGAATTTGCTATGACTGCTGTAATTTTGTTTTCAGTTGGCAACACCGTTGCCATTTCATCTTGCTTATTCGATTGAGCACGCAATCTAATGATTTTAACTTAACTTGAGTTCAACGTATTTAATGTAATTTGATTTGACTTATGCCTAATACTTTTTCCAATCTATTCCTCGTAATTATGAATTTTTTTTTTTTTTTTTTTCTTTTTCAAAAAGTTGAAATATTATTTTTAAAATTTTTTTAAAAAATTTACTTACGTTTGAAAAGATTTTACAATGAACGATTGATATGAATGATATTTTAGTATTCAAAATAAGTATAATTGTACTACAATATTTTTTGACTCATAAAAAATTAAAAAACTGAATAAATAACTTACCCGCAAGTACATATTTCGCAAATGCATTGCTCCTTGATAGATCCTGTATGAAACGTTTTGGAATCAATTAATTTTGAGGATGATATATTTTTTGATTTACTTGATGATTGAGTTTCGGACTCTTTTGAATCAAACCTAAGGTAGGTTTTAGATTTTTCTGAAACTGCAGTTACTTCATTCGTAGATTTTGAAAATAAATTTTGTTGACGATCCTCAAAAAATCTTACGTCATCAACTTCGTCCACTACAAAGATTTGCTCATTATTTTCACGATGAGAAGAAACTTGATGAGTCTGATTCATTGAAATTACTTCTCTTTTTGAAATATCAGACGTGAAAGTTTCTTGTATGGATTCATTCTGGTTTAGCGATTGTTCAGAAATTATCGGTTCTATGTGATATAAAGTCGCTACAATTTTCTTATTATTTTCATCTTGAGAAAAATCATCTTCTGTTAATGCCACGCTATTAATTTTACTAAATATTTTTTCACTTGTATTAATGGAACTAGAAGAAACCGAAGTATTACTGCGGAATTCATTAATATTCGCTATAATATTAGAATCATTCCTTAAACTTATTGTGGATTCTTGATTTCCGTGTTCGATCAACGCCATATTATTATTTTTTATAGTGGCATTTCGAACGATATTTTCTTTCGAATTGGAATTGATAGCCACAGATTTATGTGTAAAATTTTGATGTGCTTTTCTTTGAGACAACTTCGAATTGAATGATTCAAATTGTTTTACGCTCGATTCTTTTTTTGAAATGGTAGAAGATGTTGCAAATTCCCTATTGACAGTACTTTTAGTTATCGTCCTAAAATCACTTTGATGTAATTTTTTACTAATATTGACGCTTTTTCCGATTTCTTTTGAAACAGAAGATTTTCCATTACTTTCACCCACAATACTTTTAATGGTACTCGAAACTTCAGAATTTTTAACTGTTTTCTTAGTAGCACTAGTTATATTCTTTTTTTCACTAGATAGTTTTTTTGAATTTGTTTGCTTCTGAACGGATAACATGATTAAATTAATATTGTAAAAAAAATAAAGAATAGATAATTAAATTTTAAAACATTCGCACGGGTATTATCATGCTCAATATGGTTTCTCTTTAATGACACGGTAAATACTGAAAACTTATAGAGGCGATGTTGGGTTTTTGCTATCTAATACCACTGTTTGGTAAGTTAAACATGTTTCAAATAATCAAGGTCGTTAAAGCCAATCAACAATGTTGCCTTGAGGCTTTCCCACTCACTAATTCTCTTTATCAAAACTAATAAACAACTAAAATCATTTATTTAATTTACAATATTCTGTGCCCGTTTGGTTTGAAATTCAAATATTTTATTTTAAAAGAAAAATAATAATAATAATAATATTAATTTTTAATAATCAAAAATAAAAAATTTTATAATATATTTTAATAATAATGTCATTATGGAAATGGTAAAGGAACATTTATTTATGACTAAATAATGCGCCTACTGTCATTCGCTCACGCGAAAAGCGAGTTTAAAAGCAGTTTGTGATTCATCTACCTTAGTGACGTTACGTTGGACCCCACCTACAGGCCGCCGTACAGGCTTTTCACTTACTTTTCTTTAAAAGGCAACATTTAAGTAGATATAAATTCTTTAATTTTATTCTTGTTCAACCATTGAATTATTTCCTATTGATACTAAATGTGTAAATTTTACTTGAGTTCAAAATAATCACTTATTTGATTTTAGAATCAATTAAATATAATGTAAAAAGATATTATACAAGATGGCTAAAATTAACTGGATTTAACGTCGTGCTACTTATATAAAATCAGAAATTGAATTTCAGTATTTTGATGATTTGTAAAATAAAGAAAAATTTTTTTTTATCTTTTATAACATACGTTTATTTGAGACTAAGCTAAAAATTTAAATTATTATAATTTTGACCAAAGTCTTTATTTTTGTTCTCTTACAAATGAACAATATGATCATCGTCTTAAAAGAATTGTCTGATATGTTGAGTTGAGTAGTTGTAATCATTAATATGTCGTTCCCAAAATATTTTATATCTTTTTACTTTAACTCTTTAAATATTTGAAATAAAAAAAAAAAAAACTTTAATGGAAAGTTACAGTTAAATATAAAAAGTAATCGTATTGTATTATAATCATGTCATTAAGTTTAGCTTTAATCAATATCTAAAAAAAAAAAAAAAAGGTTCATTTTTTCCAACATTTTTGATTGAGTAATTTTGTACGTGGCATTCAATTTTACATAATTTTTAAATTTTTTTAAAAATCTTTCTCAGTATTTTTATTAAAATTTTTTTTTATTAATAAAATAAATTTAAAAAATCGTTCATTTTATTATAAAATTTTTTTTTTTTTAAAAAGAAATTATTTTAATTCTGTGAACCTGTTCACCTGCTTAAGCAGAAGATTTTACTGCGGAACCACAAAAAAAATGGTAAACGTGTCGTAGCTCATTGTTTTTGGTCTTATTATTTTTTTATCATGGTAAATTATATATTATTTTCACACGATTTTTGTTCTCACAAACAAAAATATTTTTTTATTAATTTGACTTGAATCTAATGATATATTTTTTTTATTTTCGTGTTATTTAAAAATTTTTTTTAATAAAATACAAAAGGCAAAAAATTAGTCCTGAAAATTTTTTAAATTAAATTTCAGAGCATATCTTAAAAAAAATTTCAATTGACGCGCAGCAATTAAATATTATAAATAAAAAAATATAGAATTTAATAAACATTATTTTTATACATAAATTCCCTTTTCTAGAAATTTTAAGTTTTATTTAATTCTATTATGATAGTATTATAACTGCTTGTCATTTATTTTTTTATCAAACTGACAGAAAAAATCCCAAGACTTATTTTGTTGTTTGTTTTTCAAAATAATTTTTATACCATATTTATATTAATTTAATTTTATCATTAATAAAAAAAAAAAAAGGCATTAAATCGGAAATACTAAAATAAATTTAATAAAAATAATAATCAAATTTGTAATATCAAATAAAATAAAAATTGAATAATAATTGATTTTTTTTTTTTTTGCTAAAATAAATAGCAGCTCACTGATTATAGAGAGAAAAAAAAAAAAAAGAAAATTTACTTTAAAAATCACACTATAAAAAACAATGGATAATACATTATTTTATGCACACAAAAACCAAAACTATTTAATAAAAAATTTTTTATCTTGTGATTTATAATCAGTCTCTATGGTTACTTATTGGTATCATGCACAAAACAACGTACAAAAATTAAAATTTCTTATAAATAGTTTGATTGTTATAATAATATTTAAATTTATTTTAAAAATGGAGTACTTTAGGTTTTATTTAACAGGCAAATGTAAGATTTAAGGACCGGAACCTTCATTGAAAAATTTTTAGAGATATCCATAATATATATTCTCTGTTATTATAAGTGTTTTTCTATATCAAAAATATTAATTTAAAAAAATGAAATATACTGGTATGTTTATAATGACCTTATAATATCAAAAAATTATAAAATAAATTTTACAAGCAAGTATTTATTTCTACACTTATGTTAATTTTATGTCATAATATAATAAACCTTAAAATTATTTTAAATTTTTTAACCAATGCTTGATTTATTTTATATTTATATATTTTAAAATATAATATACTATCGAAATTTTTTACAATGTTTGAATGAAAACATTTATATTTTAAATATCTGAGTAAAATAAAAGCTAAAATAAATATTTACATCTGTTACATGTATTTTATGTATAATTAGTTTTATTTGTAAAATGCGACCAAATATTTTTAATTTTTTTAAAATAACCGAAATAGTGGTAATTTTAAAATCGAATATTATCAATAAAGACAATTAAAAATGTTTCTATTCGTGTAAATTAATGAATCCAAAACTGTTATAATTTGTGCATGTTTTATAAATATGAATCCAAGCCTATTACAAAAAAATTGAAATAAAATTTAAAAATGATTGTTTTAAACAAGAATGTAATTTGTAATTGAAATTACAAAATTATGACAAATTTTTAAGAATTTAGAACAAAGATTAAAAACATTTTCAATAATAAATATGAAAAATTTGACAATAGAAGAAATTCGTAAGTCTTAATTTTTAGAATTAAGCAAAATTTTGCACTTATTTATTTTTTGTTAACGGAACTTATGAACCAAAGCAAAAATTAAATCTTTCACTAAAACAAAATGACGTCACTTCCAATCATTTTTACATGTTCTAATCAATAGCGATAAAACTTATGATGATTTTGTGTTTATAATCAGCTGTATCTTAGTACAGTTATTAAATTCGAAAAAAAATTAATTTTTTATTGGTATGAATATGTATAAAATTGTTTTTAATTTTTGAGTATCTTTTTTTATGTAAAAATTTTGCTCTTAAATTTATATTTAGTATATATTTTGTTTAAAGTTGTAAAGAGTTCTTTCCTACGCCATACAAAGGCAGACATTTTGTTTATCTATTTATCAAACTTTTAAAATGGCTCAGCCATCAAGTAGTGCTTTGAGAGCTCTAGCTTTAGAATATAAAAGTTTGCAAGAGGAACCTGTTGAAGGCTTTAGGGTAAAATTAGTAAACGACGAAAATTTGTTTGAATGGGAAGTAGCAATATTTGGTCCGCCAGATACTTTATATCAAGGAGGATATTTTAAGGTAATATTCATATAGACAATTGTAGAAATAATAATGAATAAATTTTACTTTTTAAAAATTGTATATGATCAAAATATGCTGTCAAGCAATTATTATTATTACACATATTAACATTTGTCCTCATTATTCCAATAAATGTTTATGATTCAAATTTCTTTGTCAATAAAGGAAATTTTAAAATAATTTTTTACAATTTACATTAACTGTTTAAATTTATCAGGTTTTTAAGAATTACCCTAAAATGAGAAAATTTTTAAATTTTATTTAAAACAAATAAAGGGAACTTGTTTACTTGTGTTAACTTAATAATCTAACTCTTTACTTATATAATCACTAATATTATAATTCTTTACAATTTATTATATAAACACACACAGTTAACAACAATTCCTAATTATGTAAAAATTAATAAGAAGTTACCCTTTAAATTAGCCTTATTAAATATGGTTAAATAAAATGTTAATTTAATAAACAAAAATAACAATTCCGATTATATACTTTATGAACCAAGTTTTCAATATAAATGATTCTGATCTATTTTACTAATTAATTTTTTTTCCACAATTTATTTTTTAAAAATTTAATTTTTATATATGATTTACTAACATAGAAATTATTAGGTCAAACTAGTGAATAGTCACTAAGATTGTTTATTTCAATCTGTTGAAATAAATAATATTATTGTTAAAGTTTAAATAAAACAATAAAATGTACAAATAGAATAAGAAAAAATAAATTAATATATTTTAACTAATAATTGTTTTTTTTGAATATTAATTTTTCTAGGCTCATGTAAAATTTCCATCGGATTATCCATACTCACCACCACAACTTAGATTTCTTACTAAAGTTTGGCATCCAAATGTTTATGAGGTTAGTTTTAAAAATTTAATTAATTTATTAAATGTCTTAAATAATAACATTTCAAAAAAGTTTTAAAACCATACTTTAATTACTTTTTAATACCTTTTTTATTGGAATTATTATTGTACTCATAAATGTTGATGTGCAGAGAGTAATCGTAAGAAATCATAAGAAACTAAATCAATACTAAATTTTTATTATAGCATTAAAACAATTTAGAAAGATGAATTATTTTTAAAATTTTTGTTTTATAAATCAGATCAGTGTTTGATTTACTTTTAATTCAATAATTTTTGTGTTTGTTATAGTTCTAATTTTAATTAAAGTTATTGTCTATTTTTTATTGTAGAATGGAGATTTATGCATCTCAATACTCCATCCTCCAGTGGATGACCCACAGAGTGGTGAATTACCTTGCGAAAGATGGAATCCTACTCAAAATGTTCGGACTATTCTGTTGTCGGTGATCTCATTATTAAATGAACCCAATACTTTTAGTCCTGCTAATGTAGATGCCTCTGTAATGTATAGAAGATGGAGGGAATCAAAGGGAAAGGATAAGGAATATGAAAATATTATTCGAAAACAAGTATCTGCAGCAAGATTAGAAGCAGAAAAAGATGGAGTAGTAGTTCCTTTAACTCTTGAAGATTATTGTATAAAAACCAAAGTAAAACCTGCAGAAAATAATGTGGATATGACTGATTTTTATGTTGATGATTATGATTTAGATGAAGATTTAGACTCTGAAGATGATGATTATGAGGATGGAGATGATAGTGGAAATGGAGAATCGTGATTACAGTTTATTCTTTTTTTTTTTTTTTTTTTTTTTTTTATAATTTTTTAAAACTCAAAAAATTAGTTTATTTAATTTTTTTCATATAATTTTAAACTCTTCTGAAATATTGAAGATAAAAAATTGTTTTTTATTTGGTTATATATTATTAATTTTCATATAGGTTAGAATCTAATTGAAGATTATTAATTTTACTAATTAATATTCACATTTTTCAATAAAAAAAAAAAACTTTTTTTAGTTTAAGTTTTTAAATTAATAAACAATAATTGTTTTTTTATTTATGCAAAACAATACTGGCATCTTATAAACATTACTGACATAAACAAATATTACAGCATACATTTTACTAAATTAAATCAAGAATAAATTATTAAAATTTTTAATTTTTGTAATTTTACTCATACTTATTTAAATACTACAATATAAAATTTTGTATAAAATTATTTTTTATACTTTATTTTATTGATTTTTTGTTTTTTTTTTTTTTGTAAATGGGTAGAGTATGAATTCTGAATTGTCTGACTTCTAAAAATTTTTTTTAATGATATACACATATAAATAAAAAAATAGTAAATATTAGTTTGACCATCATGCAGCATTAAATAATTTTGTAAAGTAAATCTAATTGTGAAGTGACTATATACTTTTAAGAATAATCAATTGTTGTAAGTGAATTAACTTTTGTACATTGAATAAAGATAAAAAATTACTTTTAATTTGCTTTTGATTTAATAAATGTATTTTAGTATTTTTATTAATTTTTTAATTAAAAATTTTTAAATTGTAAATTTTGAATAACTCATTTTTAATACAAAGGGAATTTGAATTTTTTTTTGCAAAGAAGACATAAAAAAAATTTCAATTTCTTTCTTTTAAATAAGAAACCTAGCGGAAAAAATGGAATACACGTTTCAATTATTATTAATTTATAAAATAATAATAAAAATATATAATAAAAGCATATTTATGGAGAAAAAAAAAATTAAAATTCAATTTTTTTTTTTTTGTAATTAATGCTTTATAATTTTTATTTTTAAATTTACATTTCCTAATTTGAATTACAAAATTTATCACGCTTATAAATTTAGTGAGAATTAAACTAAATTAAAAAATATTTTATAATAAAATATAGTTGTTTAATGGCCTATTAAGCTAATGTTTAAAAATTTATTTTATTACGAACTTATTACAGAGAATATTAAAACGGTCATACCGCTTAAATTCCGATGAAAAATTGATCAATTGTAATGGCAACAAGACTAAATTGAATGCAGCAAATATTCATGTTATTTTAAAGCTTATTTTATTTACTTAAGTGGCAATGCGTAATTTTAAGATGTGACACCAAAATTTACGTGCTTTTCTGTATTGTAATTTAACAAATTTTTTTAATTTTTTTCTTACTATAAAATTAAACTTCAATTGTGGTAATAAAAATTTTAAAATGTCCTTGTACGATGACTTGGAACCAGTAAACCAAAAACCTGACCAAGTAGTTGGTTGGTCGTCTGGTATAAAATTATTTCAATCTCAGTTACAACTGAAAAAGGCGGCCCAAACCCAACCTAAAAAGGAACAAATAAGAAAATCGGTTACAGTTTTGGCTCCTGTTATTGACTTAAAATCTAAACTTGATGATGATGATTCAAATTCAAATTCAAGTTCTAGTTCAAGTAATTACGGTAGACTTCCTCCAAAGGTTTTTTTTTTTTTTTGTTTTAGCGATTTTTTCCGATTGAAAATTTTTTATGTAATTACATTTTATAATATTGCAAAATTTTTTCAGGAGCCAAAGTCTTCTTTTCCTCAAATTCATTCTTTAACTTCAAATAAAGATTTTGATTGGAATATTGTTAATGAATATGATCCCATGTGGCCAAATGATTATGAAAAAGTTGTTAAAGATTTAAGAGAAATAAGAGACAAAGAAAGGGAAAAAGAAGAACTTCAAGAATTGGAGAAAAGGAGAAAAGCAAGAGATGATCGAAATGGAAAAAAAGATAGGTCTGAACTTATATTAATATGTAAAGTATTTTTAAAATGCTTCATTAGAAGGCATTGTTAGTTAAAAACAACTCTGAAGCCTCTTTATATTTGTTGATAATTCTACTTTAAAAAAAAAAAATAGAAAATGTGAAACAATTTTAATAAATAGAATATTATCACTGTGTCTTATATCAGAGATATTAAAAGTGGATTATCAGGTAGAAGAAACAGTGATGATGATGAAGAAGAAGAAAGAGATCGTTCAAACAGGGTTGGTGGTGTAGCTATAGCTCCACCTCCTTCTTTACAAGAATCAAAATCTGAAATTTCTACTACTTCACCAAAAGTAGGACATCCAAATATTTCATTTGCTGGTAGTGCTGTTGCTGCAAAAATAATGGCCAAATATGGTTTTAAGGAAGGTCAGGGGTTGGGGAAAAAAGAACAAGGAATGTCATTAGCTCTTCAGGTAAAAATAAAACAATATTGTTTATTTATTAATGAAGGGAAATGTATTGAAAAATTTACCCTTCACAGTCAATTTTTACTCAAATAACTTATTAATTTTATGTGAAATTGCAAAAAATAAAGTTTAACTGCATTTAGGAAACAAAAAATATTACTTGTTAATATATTAAAATATAATTTGTTAAAATAATTCATTAAGAATTTAAACATAACTGAATAAATTTTTTCTTCATTATTTATATATAAAAAATAAATAATTTTTTTTTTTAATTTTAATTACAGGTTTGTATTATCAGTTGTAATGACATATAAACATTTTTTGCATTATTATTTTCATTTTGTAATTAAAGGTAGAAAAAACTTCAAAGCGAGGAGGAAGAATAATTCATGAGAAAGATATTATGATGCCTCCACCTGCCCCAAATACTCCACCGATGAGAGTTGATTCTCCTCCAGCTTCAAATAACTTCACACTTTCCAAAACAGAACCTAGCATTACTGAAATAATGAAATTCCCTTCAAAAGTGGTTCTATTAAGAGTATTTAATTTTTATTGTTAATTTTATTTTTGAAATTTTTTGTTTGTTTAAGTAAAATTTTAAAAAAATTAAACATATTTTCAATGTAGAACATGGTTGGGCCTGGAGAAGTAGATGATGATTTAGAACCTGAAGTCAAAGATGAATGCAACACTAAATATGGAGAAGTAATTAAAGTTTTAATTTTTGAAATGCCAGATGCTCCCCAGGATGAAGCTATTCGTATATTTGTCGAGTTTAAACGTATTGAATCTGCTATTAAAGGTGTGTTTATTATTTAAAAAAAAAAAAAATCTTTCTATAAAAAATCTGTATTATAACAATAAAAGCTTTTTTTTAGCTGTGGTTGATTTAAATGGACGATTTTTTGGTGGTCGACAAGTAAAGGCTGGATTTTACGTTTGGGAAAAATTTAATAATTTGGAATTGTTAGATTAGACATATTATTATTAGAAAATATATAATTTATTTTTAAAAAAATGCCTTAAGTTCACCTTTATTTACTTTTTTTAAAATTTACAAGATTTCCCGCCAATTTTTTCCTCTTTCGTATCAACTTGGCTACCTTTGGCTCCCCCATGGCATCCATGTTGAAGGTTTACCCCCAGCGGACACTTAGTCAAATCAAATTATTTCCTAAATAATTTTATTGTAAAACGAAAAGAGAACTATATGTAATAGAAATTCTGAAGATAAAAAACATTAAATCTCGTCAACTTACTGAAACTGTTTCAGAAAATTTTGATTTTTATGTAAATAAAATTAGAGATAAAAGCTCTCTATTTAAACATAAAAAAAAAAAAAATTATCAAAAAACTAATTTTGGAAATTCAATTGATTTTTTTTTTGTTGCAATTAAACTGTGATTTAACAATAAAATATCTTGTGAAGTTAAGGAATTCAATCAAATACTAAAATTTTCAAAAAATTTCTAAAATTACACCCCATTTATTTATACTGTATCGATTTAAAATTGTTTTATATAATATATTATATTTTTTATATTATGTTTACTATTAACTAAATAAAAAAAGAAACACATTAATAGTTGTCTTTTATAAATGCACATATATTACTGTACGCGTACACTGAAAAAAAATTAAAAATAAATGTAATTTGAATAAAAATTTTTTAAAATCATTTAACAATACCACCTTTTCTCAGCCAATATATATATATATATTACTACTTTGTTAAAGATTTTTTAAAATTCATTATGATTCGTAAGTATAATTTTTTTTTTTTTTTAAGTTATTTTTAAAATACATTTTACCAAAATTTTTTAATACTTTTTGATAAGTTTTTTTTTTTTTTTTTTTTTAAAGTTATAAAAAAAAAAAAAAAATTACTAAATTTTACGTTTTCTTTTGATAAATATTATTTTTTTGTACTTCTACTGATATTTTTAACGTACAGTTTTTTTTTTTAAATAATAATTTATTTAATTTATTTTTATTATTTCTTTTTTTTTATTTCTTTTTTATTCTCTTCTACTTTATTTTCATTATTAGAGTTTTTATTTTCTTCATACCTAAAAAAAAAAAAAAAAAAAAAAAAAAAAATTACAACTTTCACAAAATAAATATAAAAGTAATACTTTTTGGAAAATTTATTATTTTCATATTTACTAACCTTAGCATAGTTTTTAAATCTCCCTTCAAAATGGCTAAAAGAATAGGAGTTCCAAGACAAGCAGGAACCAAATACAACAAAGCTGGTTGTGCACGTTTAAAAACATGCATTACAAATATTGTAGCCAAAAGACCACAAATATAAGCAATAGAAGTGGCGTAAAAATATGTTTTAGAATTTCTCTTTAAACTATTATCAAATCTTAGAAGGAGAGCAATGAAAATTCCAGGAATTACAATATCACCCAATCCTAACATTGCAAAATTATTGGCCCCCAAACCTTTTTCTAATAAATCTTGAGGGAAAACCACTAAAATGAAAAAAGAAAAAAATTATATTATATTTTGAAATTAATAGATATAAATTTTTAATTTGAATTTTCTGCTTACATTTAATAGGAGCTTCAAAAGATTTGGCAACAGTCACCATTACATTAGTTCCAAATACCCAAAAAATATCATAAACAAATAATCCACACAACAAAATGCAACCTGTTACAACATTATTCAAGTGTAAAAGCTCTACTCCATTGGTAGCAAAGGCAATTCCGAATAAATTGTTAGCAATCCAATGCTGAAAATGTATAATATTTAAAATTTAATTTTTTTAACTTACTAAAAATTAGTACAGCTTTATCATTTTAAAATTTTAAAACATTTTACAAATTAAAAAACAATATGAATAAAATTTTAATTTAAAATTACATTTTGTTAACATAAAAGTTTGTTATTTTAAAATGAAAAAGTTTATTCATTTGAAAAATTAACCAACAAAACAAATATTTACTTTTTTTTTTTTTTACCTTAAACTATGTAAAATCAAATATGTTGTAAAAAAAAAAAATTTTGCTAAGACTTTGTGAAATAAATTTTTTTAACAATATTAATTTCAAGTCAAGTTTCTTTTTAAAAATATAATATCTTTTAAACAAATCCACCTTGTGTAAGACCTCACATAAATCAAATAGTGTTTTTCTTTTTTTTTTTTAATAATAACAAACCTTTTTGATAAGATACCATGCACCGAACAAAGTGCAACACAGTAGACATACAACATCATAAGATGTAAAATGATAATTTATTATATCTTCAGATTCTTGAGGACCACTCTGGGTAAAATGAATATGAAATGCCCTGTTAGGGATTGTGCTTGAAAACAATTTTGTTATTATAGGACTGGAAAAAAAAAAAAAAACATAGGAATTCATTAAACTTAAGAAATTTTATAAATACCATAACTTAAAAAAAAAAAATTTTACCTTACTAAATGACATAAAGCTAGAACTCCTAAGCAAAAAAAATAAAATGTCAGTAAGAGATTTATATATTCTTTGGAAAATATCTGAAAATAATATAAAAATGTTTTAAAAATTATTTCTCAACACTTTGCTACAACCTTGGTTGATACTCAAACATATTGTTATTAATTTTTAAATTTCTGTAAAATAATAATTTCAAAAAAAAAATGGATTTTCATTAGCAGTCTAAATAGAGATGCATTGGTAATTTAATAGCATTACTATTAAGTTTATAGTTGAAAATTAAGGAACTGCCTTAAAAATTATAAAAAAATTTAACAATCTCCTTAAAAGTTTTTTCTATCATAAACGCTTGTTACAATACTAAATATGATAACTTATAACTAAATTTTTAATGTAACTAAATTGTATTAAAGTAAAAAATAATAATGTACTTTAACATTAAAGTATCCTATAAATTTTACTCTATAGTTTTAATTATCGAATAAAAACCATCAATATTGCTTTTAGCAGAATAATAAGAAAAATTTAATAACTTGATTTACATTTATATATCAATATTTTCTAAAATTTATGTATGCAGTATAATTACCTGGAAACCAATGTAAAGACCCACTAGAGTAGCACTAGCAATCAAAGGAAAAATAGCTGCTTCTTTATTTGACATTTCTCTTTTTTGTGATCCTTCTTTCTGTAATATAATTATAGGTTTTAAAATTTAATTTTATAACAAATTATATTTTGAAGCCAAAGTGACCATAATATTATATAAATATGTACTTAATAATGCATACCTCACTATTTTGCTCATCTTTATGTTTTACAGATCTAAGAGAACCCAAAAAAATTGGAAGAAGTGCCATTATAACTAAACTCCCATATGCTACAGCTACTCCCTCGGGGCTTGATGGTGGTTTAGTGGTACCATTATTTATAGCATCTGAAATATTATCTTTAATTGCATCAGTCATATTTAACGTCGTAATAATTCAATGAAGTGTGCTGATTTTCTTAGGCGTTATACACTAGCAATTTAGTAATGCACATTTAGGGCAATACTGCCGACAACAATATAATGCAACGATGCCAAATTTCTTTATAAAACGTAGACAAAGTGGCATTAAATAATTTTCTTACATTATGCTTGTTATCATTTGACAGAAAAAAGCACTTAACTCGTTATTAATTTAAAATTTTTTAAAGTTATATAATTTTATTATATGAAAAATTTATTAAAAATTCAAACTTTTATATTAATTATTTGTTCATTTTTCTAAAGTTTAGTGTAAAATGTCCACTCATGCATTAGCATCTTTGACCGCTACATACACAGATTCTGAACCAGAAGACGAAAAAGATGCATCTCCTTTTACTGAAGACAAAAATTGTCCAGATGAAAAAGAAAAAGAAAATAGTTTACAACCAAACATTATACAAAATTCTCAGTTGGAAGTATCGAGCAAAGTCACTAAGCTAGTATCATATCACGATGACAATGTCATCTCCGATGAAGAAGGCGAATATTTTTATTATAAAAACGAAGTTGAAGATTCAGAATCTGAACATCATGAAAATTTTTTTGATGGTATGGAATTACCTCCTGAACCTTCGGGAAAATGTTCTCCTCATTTAATTGAAAAAGTATTAAAACTCCATGAGAAAATAGAAAATGGTTTAGATATGAACAATATGATACAAAGTAGAAAAGATTTCAGAAATCCAAGCATTTATGAGAAATTAATACAGTTTTGTGGACTGAATGAATTAGGCACAAATTATCCTGCTAATGTTTATGATCCCTTAAAATGGGGAAAGGAATCATTTTACGAAGAGTTGGCTAAAACTCAAAAAATTGAAATGGATAAAAGAGAAAAAGAAAAAAAAGAACGAACTAAGGTAGAATTTATATCTGGTACTAAAAAATCCAATTCATTAAATGATGAAGAAATAAGGAAAAGAAAATCTAAATGGGATCAAGTTGGTGCTTCTGCAGCAGGAAGTGTAACTCTTGGTTTGATTGGTCCTGCTGGGTTATTACAGCCATCGTTAACCACAAATGTTACTGGAACTAAGGGAACTGTAATTTCAGCATTTGGTTCTCTGCCGAAGAAACCTAGAATGTAAGAAATTTTATTAAATTTTTATAAAATTATTTTAATGAGACATGTTCCGCAATGGAAATTTACTTTTTGATTTATATTAAGACATTATAGTACTTTTATTAATGAATTATCTCAGACCTTTGTATCTATTTGCTAATAAGTTTTTTAATACTTTAATTTATAATATTTATATAATTTATAATAAAACACAATATAGTAATTAATTTTTTAGCAAATAAAATATAATAATATATAGATATATTTTTTTTAAAAAAAAAAAAAATACAAAAATAATTTATGTAGTAGTCTTCAAAAAACATACATCTTTACATTGTCTGAAAAACAACAGTTAAAAGTAATGTCTTAAATTCTTACAACATTAATTTTCATTTTTTATCTATGTTATTCAAACATTTATCAAAGTGTTTAGCTATTTTAACTAAAAAGTTTATTTATAAAAAATTTATCACTAAAATAAATTCAAGAACAAATACAGTCAACCCTTTTTCATTTGTTTAAGGTGTATTCCTTGAAAAAGCATTTGATTGGATTGGTGTGCACAAATTCGACTCTTCACATTCAAAAGTGAAATAAATGCTGTCAATATGAGTTCAATGTTGGGCTTCAACCAAATCAGTAAAATCATTCGATGAAAAATTAGAGGAATGGAAACTAGGAATAAAAATAGCAAATTCAATCCACAAAATTATTAAGTAAAACAAAGTGCTACTCAACTTTCTTTCTTTTTTTTTTTTTTTTTTTAATTCTTTAATACTTTTTAGTATTAATTGAAATTCTGTATCGAATCTTTGTTATTATTTTATTTCGAAACCTTCATTTCTTAAAAAAAATTATTAGTATTCATATTTATTTTTATGGCAGGCAAATGCTGTGTGGTCTTTTAAATAAATTCATATTAATCAAAACTGCCATACATCGATTCAAATATTATTTGAATACTTTTTTATTACAATACAAAAATTTGCCTAATGTAAATTTAAATTGAAATTGATCATCATTATGATGGATTATGTATAAAAAAAGTTATGTATTATATTAAAATATAATTTAAACATGTATAAATTTATCTATATTTACATAGTATAATATTTTTTTTAAAAAAAATTATTGTGGTGAATATTATTGCGTCTGTTAAAATATTTGAATCCTAAGTATTAATTTTTAAATTTAATTAAATAATTTTTTCGTAATTTCCACTAATTTCATACATAAGTATCATTTGATTATATTAGAAAATAATTTTATGTTTAGTCAATATATTAACAAATAAAAAATTTTTTATTTAAAAAAAAAAAAAAAAGTATTTTTATTATTCTTAAAGTTGATCGGAAAAGAAAAAGCTAATAAAATGTGCTCAAAAAAAAAATTTGTTTAAAAATTTTAATTTTCGCTAACTTTTGAATTAATCGTTTAAAATATGTACAATTTAAATAAAGTACTTTGTCTTTTTTTTTTTTTTTTTTAATTAATTTTAATAGCACTTTTATCGTTTTCATTATTTTTATTTAGAAAAAAAAAAACAATGAACATGAAAAGAATTTAATAATTGTAAAATTACATTAATTTATTACTTTTAATGATAAACACTCAGAATAAAAAAAAAAAAAAAAAAGGATGAAGTACTGAATAAAACGTATGAACAATTGCAGATTCCTTTACTATTATAGACATTATAAATTGAGTCACACAAAGTTACAAACTTTTTTAAAATTAAATTTGGGTATAAAGTTATACTAATTTTTTAGGTTATGATGGTTAGCTAAAATCAAAATATCGATCAAATTAAAAAAGTACATTAAATAATTTTAGTTACAGATAAGAGACGTTTCTCAACATGTTTTGTGAGATCAGTAACTTATTAATATTTTTCAGTCAGTGAAGAATTTCGTCAACATTGGAAAAGGCACAAGATCCTAATCCAGAGCGAGACATTAAAAGAATAAGCTCACGAGCATGGGCCAAAGCAACTTCTAATGGCGGTCGACGAGGCAACTGACTGGATTCTGTATTTAAATAAAATTAATTTTACCATAAAATAATATTAAATAGGGTATTTATAATTTCTACTTGAAAATATTTAAAGTCGTAAGATATATTATTACCCAAAATAGCAGAATTAAGTGAAGAACACACTGTTTCCCTTTGCAAAGGTTCTAATTGCCATCCTACTGGACTATTCCAAGGATTTGAGTAAGCTAATAAACTGAAGGCATCCTAATTATAAAAACAGTAATTAAGTGCTTAGTACGTATGTATGTATTAGTATCCATCAAATTAAATATATTTATATATTATTTTACCTGAAGCATTTTCTTATTGTTTTCATCTTTTCCCTGCTCCTGACCGAGCCTTACACTCATATTGTACAATTCTCTACCAAATTCTAACATGCGCTCAATTCCCGGTTTACTACCACCACATACTTGCCTTTTATTAGAAGAATCAACGTCTACAATAAAAAAAGTAATTTTTTTTATAAATTTTATAATTATATTATTTTTAAAGTGCGCGACGGACACTCTTATTCAATATCGTCCATATTGTGTTAATCCCTTGTTTTAATTATGTTTAATATTTCTAGCTCACCCATATCTTCAGTTTCTTTAACATCTTCCCATTCAAAATGATGGTTGGAACCATTTTGAACACCGTTTTGTGTTTCTGGAGATAATACTTTGGTATTATAATGACTTGACCTTTCAGTAACATTTGTGTTATCCATATCGATGTCGTTTTCTTCGTAAGCGTTAGTTCGAATCACAGTATCAACGGCGGAATTGCCATTTACAGAAAAATTATTTTGTTGATTAAGTTGTTCCGTTGAAAGTCTACGATTTCTTGCTTTATTACCATTAAAGGTTTTAGTTGACTGAATTACAGAAGTTTGAATAGGGCTGGCAGGCCGAGAAGGAGTATTTGATGTGTGTGAGGGGGAAAAATTTCCGTGTCCCCGATTTAAACGATTAGGGCAAACCTATAAATTTTTTCATATCCAAAATAACCATTATAAATGTAAATAATAATTTAATGCCATTTTTTCTGTATATTTACTTCTGAATCGGTTCCGTTTATCATTTCAACAAATTGTCGACATTTCAATTGAAACAGCAAATTTTGATTATGCTCTAATAAACCTGGATAAAGGCGAAATGTTGTTTCAATAGCTTCTCCCATTCTGCCAGCGAGAACTAATTTCAAAATCCCTGAAACATCAAAACAAAACATTAAAAAGTAATTTTAGAAAAAATTAAAAATTTTATAAGAAAATTTTTTATTTTAATTATAGCGTCATTTTTTTGGGATGCAAGAATATAAAGTGAAAGATGCTATTGTAAATCTCGTGTACTAAACCTTAATAATAAGGAAAAAATATATTTCCTCAAAATACCGATATTTTAACAAATAATTACCTTTAATACCTCCTTCTTTGTTCTCCATGACACTTTTCTCAAAGTTGATACCTTATTCACAACCTTTTTTTTTTTTCTAAATAATATAATTTTTTAAAAATGTCCTTTTTACATTTGGCTTATTTTCAAATCCTTCTAAAATGCACTACTCCAAGTATTAGGAATTGAAAATTGGTCAAATTATTTTTCTTTTTAATTTTTTGTCAATTCAATACGGGTACTTATAAACTCACATCCCGAAAAAAAATAACTACACAACAAATTTAATTTTTGACAATATTAAAATTTAATATTATGCACTTGATGAAAAACAACTCTTTACCCAAACCTGTTGCAAATTATACCTTATATTTATTGAAAAAATACTCAATCTTTTTACATTGTTAATAATATTTGAGAATCAGTAATTAATAATAATAATAAAAAAACCTATATTTCTCATTAATTGCAAATATTCTTCCAAAAAAATTTTTTTAAATGAATTAAGAAATAAGTAATTATGGGAAATTGTAAGGCAGGTTGTAGCACTAACCAAAAATAAACTAAATAAATTGAATAACAAATTAATAAAAATATTTAATACTTACGCTGTCGACTTTTTATAGAAGCTAATTCTTCATTAAAAACTTGTCCTGTACTATGAGCAAAAGCTTCTGCAGTAGCACAATAACCATGATGTACTAAATATGTTGATATCATTCTTAAAATAAATAATTTTTATTAATGTATAGATAAAAACTTCAATAACATTTTTAATTAGTGCTTTAAATAAATGTCAGAATAATTTTTTTTGAATTCATTGTTTTTTTTTTTTTACTTTCAAATTTAATAAAAACATTACTTAAAATATATTGACCCACAGCAAAATATCAAATTAAAAACTGAATTAAAGAATTAAATATGCAATAAACTTTGCCTTATACCATATAAATGATTTTTTTTTTTTTTCTGTTGAAATTTACTATTTTAAATATAAATTCCAACAATGCATAAATAGTAATTTAAAATAATAATGTTTGTTATTACTTATGAATTATAGCCTGCCATTCTCCATGTACTTCAGACACAGGAAAATCTTCAATAGTAAGCCTGGTTCTAGCACGAAGTTCCCGCATCATATCCTCAATATCAAACATAAAAGGCTCTTGTCCAAAATTGGCATCTACAACTTCCCCAGGAGTTTGAAGACCAACAGTGGGATAAAGATTAGGCTTGAAAAGTAAAAGCATTAATCAAATAATTTTTTCTCTTTCTATTTAATAATTTATGCAACTTACAGGTAAATCTGTAAATGCCACTCCTAGGTTATGACCATTTTTAGTGTAAAAACAAGTGTTATCAATTAAATTAACACCACATCCTATTACATCACCAGTGGTGAATGTAGGTCCGTATGGTTGACCAGTTCCAGATGAACAAAATGAATGACCATCATCTCCATGATAGCCATAAGAATGTTTATCCCAGCCTTAAAAGTAAGTTAATATAATAAATGAATATATTCACATACATGTTTTTAATTTTTACTTTAAAAAAGAAAATTGTAACTATAAAATTAGGTAATATGAAATAATTAATGCATTGTCATTTAGTAGTGATGCCAAACCTGGTAATCTGTTCATATTAACTCCTTGAGCTGACAAACCAATGCCCATATATCCATCTCTACCTTTACTAACAATTTTGACTTCAAAATAATAAAGACCACAAGCTGGTGGTATGGGATGAGTAGCTCTTACACTCGCTGCATCCTTATGTGTTTTTCCATGTCCTATGAAAAAATAAATAAAAATTTATTCATTATGAAGAGCACTTTACTTCATGAAATAATTAAAAATTTTGGAATAATGAATCTCTATTTTGTTAAATTATAATTAACGATTAAAAAAAAAAATTTTTTTTAAAGTTATAAAACAGTATTTCAAATTTTATTCCTCAAGTTAAAACACATTGATTTTATTCTTAAAATGCAGGAAAAAGAATTTCACTACATAATAAATTTAATCAAATGATGCTTCTAAAAAAAAATTTTTTAAATTGAAAGTTTACTTTGAAATATCTTGATACATTGAAAGTGTCTATCAAAATTTTAATTTTGATAATTTAATAAACTGTTTAAAGAATTCAAATATAATTTTTAAAAAATTGCTTATAAGTTCATAAATATAAATTTTTTTCAATAGCAACACTCTTATGCATAAAATCATTAAAAAATTTATTAATGTATTTAAAAATTAATTTTAACTACTAATTTCGCCATTAATATCATTTCTCTTTGTTTAAGTCGAAAAAAAGAAATCTTATATTCAAATATATGCACACATATAATTTCTTATTATATAAGATAATAGAAAAAATATTCAAGAAATTTTTTAGAAATTAATTTAATTTCAGGAAAATTTCTTATAATTAATTTTCTTCCACTCTTAAAAATAATTAAAGAATATTATATAAAAGGACTTATTAAATTTTACCTTTATAATGTACTCTCAAATTGTTCTGAGACAGTCCAATGTAGTTATATTTGTCTTTAGGGCTCCATGATCGCGGAAGTGGAGTTTCATCTTCATTTACCATGGGATATAAAAACTTTAAACGATCTATTTCGACACAATGAATTGAATTGTGAATGTCACTTGAATTACGGCCATTGCTGATGGCGGCCATTTTTAACTGTATCTCAAATGACGAAGTGTTGTTGACAGTGCAGCCAACTTCATTCAATAAAATTCCTTTCTTAACTTCGCTTATACAAAAAAAAAATTAAACGTTTTTTGTCGTTTAGTTAACTTTTTTCTCACACATTTTTAGTAAGCAGTGTGCGTTCGAACGCGTTTTACTTTAGATTGTGCTAATGTTTTATGGCGGTGACGAATTTATGGGAAGGGCTGGTCCGGTTGAGTGTGTAAAATGTTAATTTATTAGTGTAAATTTTTTAAATCACAAAATATCATATAATTACAATCGTATTTAATTGTGAATGATTTTGACAGTTAATTTTTGCTGTAAAGTGAGTTTTTTTGTTGAGGAATAGTAGCCGGTTCTCTCTGAGAATTTAGATTATGCTTTTATCAAATTGGCTAAATAGTTATTTTCACCAAATGTTCAACATTGTAAAAAATTTATAGTTTACTTATTTTTAATAAGACCAAGTTATCTTCAAACGATATTAAACTTTATTTCATAATTTATTTGTCCTGGAGTTTAATTCATAACGCCGAGCTACGGGTTTTCATTTTCTATCTCCGGGATGGGATGTGCAATGTCTGCAGAGGAGCGGGCTGCGCTGGCTCGGAGTAAGCAAATTGAAAAAAACCTAAAAGAAGACGGTATTCAAGCAGCTAAAGACATTAAACTGTTACTACTAGGTAAGTTTTTATAACAAAATAACTTGAATGCTTAACGAATTATTTAATGAATAAAATCAAATGCACATAAAATTACTTGCACTAAGAAAAGCTTTTCTGTATTTTAAATTCCCTTTTTTATAATTATAAAAATATTGAATTTTTTTAAAATGATAAAAATACAATTTTTTATTATGAATATAACAGCGAATGCAAGAGATGTAATTATTTTGTAATCGACCATTAGTCAGATGTCAGTGTAAATAATGGTATAATTTCTTTATGCAAAAATATAAAATATACTTTTGCAATCTACATTTTGATAAAGGCTTCTTCTTTTAAAAATGTTTCGATTTCATAATTTCTCCTGACAATAATTTTTTTTTATTCGTTTCATTTTTTACTTTTTATCTTTCAAGTAATTTTACTATTTCATGTAAAAAAAAAAACAAAAAAAAAAGGTTTTAAAAAACTTTTATTATTATGAGAAAAATTCTTTATAACTGTTTACGA